TTCAACACTAGTTGATCCATTTTCTTACTTGCCATTTCCTTAAAGCCATGTGTCAAATCAAAAGTTCTTTTAATCCTTCTTCTGCTATTTCCTTTTATGACTATGACCTGTTGATCATGCTACACGTTTTGAAGCTCTACATTCACTGGTTGCTATGACAATATTCTTTCCAGCTTCTCCTCTTGGGCTTCTGAGCGATCTCATTTCCCAGCCAACTACTTTCTCCTAGGTCTCATTCTACCTACCTACCACGGGAGGTGTCACCATTGTACTTCCTTCATGCCAATGTCAATTAAATCTAGATCTCTTGAGCTTCTTATTCAACAGCCTCTTGGACATCTTACTTTTGATTTATCTTTCACTATCATCTTTGATTTCTATTGTATTTGTTTCCTAAATCTGCTGTAACAAATTTCCACAGAATAAGTGGCTAAATACAACAGAAATTTATTTTCTCATAGTTCGGGAGGCTAGCAATTCAAAATCAAGGTGTTAACAGAGTTAGTTCCTTCTTTTAGATGCAAAGGGAGAATCTGTTCCATGCCCCATTCTTAGCTTCTGGTTGTAGACAGCAAACCTTGGCATCCTGTGGTTTAAAGTTGCGTAACTGCAGTCTCTACCTCCATTGTCACATGTTCATATTCCTTCTATATATTTCTGACCTCTATTAAAAGACATCCTTATCCCAGTATAACCTCATCCTAACTAATTGCATCTAGGTGACCCTATTTCTAAATAAGGTCACATTCTGAGATTCTGGAAAGAACATGAATTTGAGGGATCCATAATCTAGTATACCCACCAAATCTACTCACATTCTCACATTGCTATGTTCACAAGTAGCGCTAGCTTACAACTACTAACCAAGGATCTGAGAAATATTCTTGACTGCTCCCTCTCTGTATAACTTCATATCCTAGATATTATTAAGCTTAATTATTTTCAGGTCCTGATATTTATGGAATGTGAATAGTCTTCATTCCTCATTCTGTTGCTCTAACTCACTCCTTAGAAACTCTTGCTTTGAACAACTAAAATAGTTTGTTGAATGCCCTTCAAAACTAACTTTTTCAGAGGTTACATGTACAACAGGTCATGTATGTATATATGGTTGAAAGACACTAGAAATGTGTTGGGTTCCCGCCGCCCCCCCCCCGCTGGTATTTTCTAACTTTTCAGTACTGTGGAAAGTTCCACTTCTGTACTACAATGCCACAAAACTATGATGGATATCCTTCCTGAGGAATAGAGGAACTAAGAACTAAGAGGCATAACAGTTTCTGTGGAAGCATCAGCCTTTGTAACTTCTTCTTTTGACTTGACAGATTCTTAACAAACCTTCCAAATGTTACAAAATCCATCATACCTATCATCTGGTTTTTTATAAGATTTCAAGACCTCTTTGGGAAAGCCAAACAAAATGAACTTATTTCAGCCTTTTGAGATTTAATATTATCCCTGACTCCAGAGGCTCTATGATAAAAGTACTTATTTTCATTTATAAAAATAAACAGATATCATAAACAAATGTAATCACATGAGTTATAAGCCTTCCTTGTTTACACACACACACACACACACTGATTTTAAGAATAGTGTTGTCTTCTCAAGATACATTAGGTCAGCCCATCAAAATTAGTCTGGAAGTAAATCATTTTGTGATTATTAAAATTAAGCAGGCTTGGGGAGACTACTCAACTCTTTCCTTTCTTCTATGGCTTTCCTCCTGAAGCTATCACATGGGGCCTCAGTTTCCCCCTTTATTTCACTCCCTAAAATGAAAAACTATAGTTACCAATGCTGATTCCCACACCCCATGGAAATGGGGTTTCCTCCTTCATCAGCATAACACATTTTAGGGTTTATAAGGAAGCCAGGAGTGTGGGAAGGAAGAGTCCAGGAAGGTGTCTGGCTCCATTTTTACCATTTGTGAAATTCTTTTGTTGTTGCTCTTTCAAACAAGTCAACTCTCCTTTTAACAAAGAATACAACTCTTGGACATAGTCATGTTCTTAAGACTAGAGTGACTGGAGGACACAAATCTAATCTGTTCTGTAAAGTCTGTAGTATGAACTATCCCTGGGAAGACTCATAAAACTGCTTTTTTTTTTTTTTGCAGCTGCAAACTGGAAGTCTTTTATCATATCGTTTATTGTTTGCTTCTGATGTTCAGAAAGGAATAGTTTTTTTTTCCTAATTCAATCAAACTTTTGCATTGAAAATATTTGCTGTCAAGCCATTCAGGGCCAAGTCTCATCAACATCTTGAAATACAATTTTTAAATTGCTCTCATTCTCAATTTCAGTGGAAATCTAGCCTTGATTAACCTAGTTAGTATTAAAAAATACCTTAAGCAAGAAATATTACTGAGAAAAGTTGCCACAACTTTTAAAAATTTGTTTGCTGTACTTGAGCTCTAAATTTCAAAGGAAGTGAAGTGTTTTATCTCAACCCTCTCTCCACATACATATAAAAACATATTTGGTCCACTAAGAAGCCTCCATTCCTCTAGAGCTGTCTACATTTTGTAAATATATAATTTCTACCAAAAATCATTTTATGATGTTCTTTAAAGATTAGATACAAGTCTAGCATACAACCAAGATATTCTACTCCTAAGTATCTACCCAAGATAAATGAAAGCCACTGATATAGCAAAGACTTGCATGTGATTTGCATCATTCATAACAGCCCCAAGTAGGAAATATTTTAAATTCCCATCAACTAGTAAATAGACAGAATATGGTATATGCATATGATGAAAAATTATTCAGCAATAAAAACACATACCACAACGTGAATGAACCTCAAAATCATCATGCTAAGTTAATAAAGTCATAAACAAAAGAACACATGATATATAATTCTATTTATATGAAATATTCAGAAAAGGCAAATCTGTGGAAACTAAAAGGAAATTAATGGTTGCCTAGAGCTAGGATGAGAACAGTGACTATAAATAGGCATGAGCCATCTTAAAGTGATGAAAATATCCTAAAACTAGGTTTTAATGGGAGTTTTACAACTTGGAGACTGTTATAAAAATCATTGATAGGGCTAAGTTTCTCAAAATCATTTGCCTGTAAAAGGGATACACTGTATGATTTGTAAACTTGCAAATTATACTTCAAATTTGTAAAAAAAAAAATCTGTAATGCAAACTGCAACTGTAATATTATGAGGAAAATTACATTTATTGATTATCAATGTAAACTGGTCAGCTTAAAACTGACCAATGAAGAGAAAAAAATCCTTTAACAGAAATAAAACTTGCCACATTTTTTAATATTCTGCATAATGTAATCCATTATTAATATGATATTTTGTTGAATGTGGTGAAGATTAAAAAGTCAATTACTAAAAACTTCTCCAAATTTTCTTCTCATACTTTGCTTCAAAATTGAACTTTTGTACTTCCTAAACACCTTCTTAGAAAGGAACTCTCTTAAGTTAGTGTCAGTACAGGGGCACTGAAATATGCTTAACAATCTCAGGAAACAAATTTTTGAAATATGCTGAGCTAACTAACCTCGACCCAGAACCTACTTGCCTGACGTCCCAGTGCTTCCTGTGAGCTTTATGGTAATCAGTTCTCATTTTAATAATTCAAATTCTGTGCTTTTTGAATATTAAATTCCAGGGAGACATTTTCAAATGTGTGGCAATGTCTATAAGAAGGAAGGCATCTTATGAGAGAGGAAGTGGACAGATGGAGTTTGAATCTAGAAGTATACAAAGAAATGCTTCAAGAGTAATTCTAAAATGGGCGTGGTAGTTCATGCCTATAATCCCAGAGACTAGGGAGTCTGAAACAGGAGGATCGCGAGTTCAAAGCCAGCCTTACCAATTTAGCAAAGGCACTAAGCATTTTAACAAGACCCTGTCTCTAAGTAAAATATTTTTAAAAGGGCAGGGGATGTGGCTCAGTGGTAAAGTGCTCCTGGTTCAATCCTGGCTTTTAAAAAAAAAATGTAATTCTGATCCATTTTCAGTATCCAACCATTGATGAGTGTTTTAGTTTTCATTTTATTTTTTCTAAGTGAGAGTTTAAGTGGTCATCAGCTTTAGATAAGGACCTACAGGGTCCTGCATGGACTCCAGTTAACACCACCACCTGCAGGGACAGGGATGTTTCAGTGATTTCCTTGCGCCTAGCTCCTGCCCTTCGCTTTTCTGAAGGATGAGTTAGGCAGGCTGCTCTTTCAGGGTTAAGTTCTACCAAGACCTGAGGACCTGTGTTCTCAACCTGACTTGGGAAGGCACTGTGACCCCGGGGATTGGGTAAAGCAGGATCATCTGCCCTGGAAGGCACCTTCAGAAACTTCCACAAAGGGCTGTGGCAGCAGCAGTTTCCTGAGACCTAGGAACTCTGCCCCTTCTGCTCCTGCGACCACTTTGCACTCAGGTCCCTCTTCAGGGGCCGCCCCAGGTCCTAGAAGAAGGAAAAAGTCCAGTCGCTACAAGCGAGGTCATCCATTTTACTCACCTGCATAGTCTATCAAGAAGGGACAGAAACCGGTAGAATGAGGTGACTTCACTAAAGTCACACAGCTTACCGCTGGAAGAGCTGGTTGGAACGCGTATCCCTGCTGACCCCGTGGCCACTAGCTGCCTGGGGCTTGGACAGAGCTGCCCAAAGAAAACGACGTGGCATTGCCGGCGCGATTGTAAAAAGGCTCAGCAACTCCTAACAGGAGGTCACCAATACCCACCTTCAGTGGCGAGTGAGCTAAAAGCAGATGACCAGACATTCCGGATTACGCCTGTTGACCTGAGCGCCTCCTTTCACTCTAATAAAAGAACCCTAGCTAGCAGTTCAAGATTTGGTCCACCTAGTAAGAGATATCTGCCTTGAATTTCCCCAATGCTGTGCAGACCCAGCGGAAAATGGGAAAGTTGCACTTACATCGTTTGCTCAGTCTCCCCGACTCCCCTATTCCCTTCCCTCCGTCCTTTCATCAGTGACACCGATTCCTGTTCCCGATCCTCCAGGTACATACCAGCCGCGCGCAGAGATGCCGGCGTTGCCTGGGCCAGGTCCTCTCTCCCTAGGGCTCTCCCAGCCTCGAGGCGACGCTTAGCTGCGACGCGGGCTCTAGCTCACTGCCGCCTCTACAGTCCACCGGGTTGTGGCCTCGTCTGAGTTGCTGGACTAGGGAGCAGCCAGGCGGTGGCGGCGATTTGTGGGGCGGAGGGAGCGACCGGATCCCGCCCCCGGCAGCAGAGCAGGCTCCAGTCCTAGGAGCACAACTGGTTACCGCAGAGCTCCCCAGGGCAATTCCCTGCTGGCCACTGGGGGAAAGCCTTTTTCCTGCGTACAAGCACGTTAACAGACGACTAACTAATCATCCAAGATCGTCACAGAACCCGTGTCTTCCCCGCTTGCCACTCCCAGTTCCCCTGGGTGAGGTTGTGTTAAGAATTCGCAGGCGACCATTGAGGAAATTTCGCACTTCTAGCTGCTCTGCTCACTGACGCTACCAGCCGGTTTTGGTAGACCGATTTGTGCACACCCCTAGGGTTTGGGCTCCAGGTGCCCTAAGTTTGCCCTTTGCTCTAATTGTGGCTATTTGGAGAAGGTAGGACTGTGCATAGTTCCTTATCTGCACCTAGAATCTGGGTCTTCGTGTTTATTAAGTTTTTATTGACAGATTGGAAAACAAAATAGAATGCAAGACTTTTTGTGCAAAGAAACGCAGGGCTCTATGTATATTGAATTTGGCGATTAGGTTCTCACTAAGGAAAATAATGACCTTACTATTAAGGTCTCCTTTTGCCCTTAAAAGTTTTAGAAAATGGATCACCATGCTGCTGATAAAAATTAAGAAGTTCTTTTCTCCTTGAGAAAGTGGTTTCTCACTGAAGTCCTGAGATCCCCTCTAAGAGTCATAATTATTCAATCTTCTGAATGTTATTAATCTGCTTATTCTGTCTCTGGCTTCCTGGAACTGAAGGCCTATGATACTTGACACTTCCCTACTATTTACAAATTTCCCTTTTAGCCAAGGCCATGTGAAACATGAATATATGTAATTAGGTAAACATCCACTTAAATTGTCTGCAAATAGTGCTATAATTAGGTTCTTTAAATTATTTAATATTCATAACCCTACAATGTAATAATAATTATCTCTATTTGCAGATAATAAGCTGAGGCACAGTAAGGTTAATGATGTTGAAAAGTTTGGTAAATCCAAACAGTTTTGAACTCAGGTCTTTCTGCTTCCAAAGTTAATGACATTCCTTAAGTTACACCCTGTTAATAAAGGTTGTGATTTTTCTTAATGGTTAAAGAGGTACATTTTGTTTTCTAAGAACATAGTTTCTTGTGTATCATACATATATTAATAAGAAAGATTGGGATTTTTTATCTTTAGTACAACTTAAAAACTTATTATTTGGCATGTTTCTAAAGCCTAATATTATTATATTCTATAAAAGGATAAATTTTATCTAAGTTAAATTATTCTAAAGCTTATTTATTTTAGGGATCTTGTGATAAAGAATAATGCTAAAATGTTTTAACTTATGTATTATACTACCATGATTAGATTTTTCTGAAACTATTTCTTATACTCAAAAAATTTGTTCAGTGTCGGGTGCAGTGTCACATGCTCTAATCCCAGTGGCTCAGGAGGCTGAGGCAGTAGAACCCAGCCTCAGCAAAAGTGAAGCACTAAGCAACTCAGTGAGACCCTGTCTCTACATAAAGTACAAAATAGGGCTGGGGATGTGGCTCAGTGGTTGAGTGCTCTTTAATGCAATCCCCAGTACCACTCCCCCCCCAAATTTGTTTTATAAAACCTGAAATTTGGATAAAATAATTAAACCCCACTGATATGCTTTTAAACTACATATCTGAAATAATCAGCACCGTTGAAATATATGCCCAAAGAGGGCTGTATACCCAATATCTAGAATAGCACCTGTACAAAACAGGTGCTTAGTAAGTACTTTTTAAATGAATAAATATTTACATCATTTCTCCACTTAAGGAAAAATAATGACTTACAAAATGCTATTTATTACAATATTTTTGTCTATTTAAAGCAGATTGAAAATGTTGGTGGCCTCTCATTTCCACAATGAAAGTAAAAAGGTGATATAGTCAGATAGATACCTTGAAGGTTTGCACTAGCTGCTGCTGGGAATGGTAGACGAAACCTGACCATAAGTCCAAAGTGTTTTTGAATCAAGAAATTGGTGTTAGCAGTAGTTTCACATATCATGTGAAATTATGTCAAGTGTATGATTTTAAATGCAGAAAGTTTAATTAATTCAACTTGGAGTTGTATCAAGTAATATGATGCAAAAAGAAAATAAAGAGAAAGTTTAGATGCTGTCTTTGAGTAGCTGCAGGATAGGGCTATGTGATTAATTTAAGACTAGATAGAAAAATAAAGGAAGACAAAAGACAGAAGAAAAAAATAAGAACCAACAAACAACAACTTTTGATCAAACAGGAATTAGGAAGATAAGAGGTTGTAGTCAAAAGGCAAGATAGTTTTCTTTGAAGTTTTGGTGGTATAATAGTAACATTCTTTATGGAGGAGCTCTCGGTGGGGTTGGGTGACAGAATGAAGATCAAGAAAGTGAAGATTAAGATGTTCACGTGATAAAAATGTACCAGTGAGTAAGGAAGGAATGAGTAAGATACCAAAGATTTTCAAGAATGCAGTGGAATGATCTGAAATTGAGTGGATGACTATGCAAATTTGGGGAAGAAGGTACATATCTAAGGAAGAAGAGACTAAGTAGATCAAGGGTTGGTATAAGAGGTGGTTATCAGTGCAGTGCTGGGGAGCTACAAGGATGCCAACACTGCCTCCCTCTATCCCCATGGCCCTAGAGTATGGGACACTGGGCAGTCTATATTGAAGGAACAAGTAGGGGAAACTATTCTCAGAAGCAAGCTGATTTTCACCTAAAGCCAGAATATGGAGAAAGTATTAGTGAATATTTTATAAAGGTAGTGGTATTTTTCAATGTTGAATAAGGATTCTGCAAGTTCAGAGTGGTTAGATGGAGGAGACAAAGTCAGCTTCTTGACCCTGCAACCTGTGCATTTCCATAAGGCTTTGCTTAATGCTCTGCTATCCCTCCCTTGAAATACTTAATTTTTTAACAAAGAGACTACATTTTCATCTTGCATTGTGCTCTGAAGAGTACATAACCAAAACTGTAAGGAAGAGTAAAGAAATGGAAGGATGGATGAAGCAAGAAGCAGCATAAGCCCTCTGGAGATTAAAGTTTTGGAGAAACTAGATGTAGGAGGTTGTATTTTGAGGGGAGATCAAGATTTGCAGGGAGAAAGGATGTGACAACAAAGTTTCAAATTGATTGGGTTCTACTCCCTTTAGGGCCAGACTGAATGTGATCTGAGTAGCAAAAGGTGAAAGTAGTCATTTTACTCCATGTTTCTGTATTGGAATGAGTTAGTTTCCTAGAGTGACCATAACAAATTATCACAAATAGGGTGACCTAAACCAGAAGAATTCTATTATCTCACAGTTCAGGAAGCTTTCATATTCATGCTTCTCTGTGTTTATCCTCTACTGACTTGTGTTCTCTTCTTATAGGGATACTTGGTCACTAGGATTAGGGTCCACCCAGGTAATCCAGAATCATCTCACATGGAGATCCTTACCTTAATTACATCTTCAAAGAAACTTTTTCCAAATAAGGTCACATACAAAGGCATTAGAAATTAGAATTTTGACAAATCTTTTAAGAGACCACCATTCAATCTGCTATAACTAGGGTTGCTGAGGCAACAGGAATAGCTAGGTTGAATGACACTGGCAGGTGATAGATTTTCAGTTTTATTTGGCAAACTGAAATATCTATAATAAAATGAAGATTATTAATACTTCTAAAGCTTTTCAATAATAAAATTTAATAGGTATGAAATTCTGAAGGTTAAAACTGTCCAGAGAGATGTTACATCCCTGAGAATTGTTATCTATCTTTGGGGACAAAAAGGCATTGAGGCAAAAAGTTATGTACCTGAGACAGGGCCAAATCTAGTTAAAAGGAATTGAAGAAATAGGATTATCTGCTCCTTCTCTTTCCCTACCCTACATTCTAGGCGACATATGTGGTTCCCTAGTACTAAAGCAGAGTCTATAGTTTGACTGTATTTCATATTTCATCTGACCCTAAAAATGTGAAATTTAGAAGTGACAGAGTAGTGTTTGTTTCTGACATTAAAGCTAGTTTCCCAAACCATGACTTATAGAGGACAATCTATATATCATAAAAAATGGAGAAGAATATGTTGAAATCAAGACTAACTGTGCTACCCCATTCTCTTCCTCCAGCTGATCAGTACTCTGAGAAATATCCAAGTGTAATCAGAGCCAAATGGAACTCACATTAAAAAGCATAACTCTCTGGTCCTTACTCCATTCAGCTAAAGACAGAACAGGTGCTACAAATTCTACCAGTTTCCATGCATCATATTCCCAGTGATGATATTAAGAAGATTCCAAATTGTGGCAGGTGGGTAGCAGCATAACTAGACCAAGCTTAGAGAAGATGAGATGAGTATCCATTTGGGGTTGGCCTCTAAGGAAGTTGCCCTGAAGCTAAATTTACACAACATAGTGGCCTATGGCTTAAGGGCTTGTTTGTGACCCTGTCTTTGCTGTGTAGTAGGAAGAATGCTACTAACCCACATTCATTAAGGGAAAAGTTGGGCAATGGAAGGATTGTGAAATGGAACAATTGGCTTTTAGAAGATAAGAGACTGTAGAATGAGAAGCAGAGGGAAAGGAAGAGACTTATTTCTTTTCATTATGTAGAATAGAAATTTTCTAAGAAATGTTCCTGGTCAGTGGGGCATAATTTTGCAGAGTAACAGGGAATATGAAAAGACCACTGAAAGCAAGAAACCCTGGGTTCCAATCTCAAATGGCACTAACCATGGCTTTGTAACCTCAGTGAAGTCAGTTTTCTCATGGCTGAGGGAAGATAAATGACTAAAGTATTGCCCTGAACTAAAATTCTGCAAGTGTCTGAATTGACTTTCTTATTAAATCTAAATTCAGCACAACATGTAGAACATTGCCTATCTACTTGCATCCCACTGTAATTCTTATCATTTTCCAAAACAAATCCTATTTTCCGAATAAGCTAAGAAACTTCCCATTCCATGTAACTTCCTTAGTCCAATTTTCATCATTGATACCTGAAGATATGCTTATATTTAGTACCTTCCACTCTTAAGTAATATCACTAAATTTCTCCAAAGTACTATTCACAAAATGTCTACTTCGGAAAGCTTATGGATGAAAAATTTCCATTTCTGTGCAATTCATTCAAACATGTTCAAAGTTGCTGTCCAAACTATATGCCTCTTTTTCACATGCTTGGGGAGTATTGCAATTTTATTTTTATTTTTTTTAAATTGCTTTTTTTTTTAAGTACATGACAGCCGAATGAATCTC